GATAGCTGAACATTCACAATACTGGGATGAATGCAGTTTGCCTGCAGCAAGTCCCAGACTTTTCTGATGCTGACAATTAGTTCAATGAGCAGCTTCCTCCCTCAGTCAGGACAGTTGAAAAGTCTGCTCTGCTTTAGCAAAAACAGGAAGAGAATCACATCTCATGTCCTGGAAGCATTGGTGCTGGCCCCACTAGTAGAGGCTGTGTGGCAGCAGGTGGAAAGAAAAGCAAAACTGCTTGACAGAAATCTCAATCTCTGCACAAAAAGGCACAGCCTTCCCCAGCCCCACAGTCAGGACTGTAGCCTTCTGCCTCCACTCTGCACACCACTGCAGGGGTCACAGTCAGTCCCAGCAGCGTGGTGAGTCTGCTCTGAGCATCACACCAGGTATCGACAGCTCATGGTTCTGGCTGCTTGTTCTGGTCTCTGCCCTTCTTTCCCACCCTAGGAAACACTGGTTGATTTTGTCACCTCTTGGGGCCTGGAAGAGTTAACATTTGCAGTGCTCTCTGAAAGAGTGCCAAACATTTAATCTGCAGTATTCCTGTTTATGATGCCTGTTGTATGGAGCCTGCCACTATTTCACTTACTTGCATGTTTATCTGAGCAAGGTCAGTCTCATTAGTTTACGTTGTCAGATGGAGCATGGGAGAAAGATCCTCACAATCTGATTGCTGAGGCAAGTGCTTAGAAGAAAAGCTTAGCTTATAATTACTTAAAGGTCACAGAAAATGTCTCTGTTTATCTGTGAGCTGCTGCAGAAGCCATAATTTCAGCTGGGAACAGAAAGAGCAAAACAGCAAGAAAGTTTAACATAAACAGGCAGAGGAACAAGAAGGTGTTTGGTTGCTGACATGTTTTTATCTTGTGGGTCTGGCTGTCCTTCACTACTCCACAGTTGCCTTTTCCTGATAAGGGACCAGATGCCTGTAGGGTAGAAATGAGAGGGGTCGTGCAGCAGCAGCAAAAGACCTTGGGTTCCTTACCCGACAGACAAAGCATTCAGGGTGCCACAGGGTGTTCAAGGCAGAGATGTAGTTTTCCAGGATAGCCCGGGCACAGCCTCCACACTTGGGAGCAAACATATCAAAGTAGTCCTTGCGGCAATAGGCTTTGCCATCCTTCTCATGAAATCCTGCCAAAGAAGAGAGGCACAGTCCATCAGTTCCTCACCTTTACTTATGGCCAGGCAAGCTCTGAGGGATAGGCAGTGTGGGTAGGATCATCCTCCCCCTTCTAACACACACAGCAAGTTCCTCATTCTGCTGCCCTTCTTGTCCCATGTGCACACAGGCACATGCATACTCTTCCTCCCCAGGGAGAAAAGACTACTGGTAGCATCTTTTCCCCATAAACAGCTATAGCCCCTGGGACTTCCATCTTCAGTAGTTCCCCTGTCATCTCTCAGGCTGTCCCCTACTAGCATCTCTGCTTTACACACTTGTCTGAGCTCAGGGAGGACACTGTTTTCCCCTTACATAAACCAGCAATACCTTCAGGCCCAAAGAAAGCTCCACACTGGGCACAGAAAAAGTGTTCCGGGTGCCATGTCCTGTCCAAAGCCGTCACCACTTTCTGTTCAGAAGAAGACACAAAGTGTAAGTTGTGTAAATGATGGCTTCAGCTTGGAGGTGAGCAAGGAGAGTCTCGGTGGGGGGAAGAATGGTGGTGCTGACAAGAGCATGCATTAAAACAGACTGTCATTTAGAGAGCTGAGTCAGTTCTCCCCTGCCTCTGGCTCGTTCAGGCTTTCCCCACTGCACACTTTTTTTACCCTAAAAGGATCTTAGGCTCTGCTTCCTCCCTTATACAGGGCCCCGTCCAGCTCTTACAGCACTGGTGCCTGTTACTACAGGCTACCAACAGACAAAATCATTACCAGAATGATGTGGAGCTCTGAAGGAACTTCAGTGAAGGTAAGAGGGATTAACTCCTCTCACTGGTGTAAGAACTGGACTGAGACAAGTTGTTCCCTTTAAGAGCCAGGGTAAAGGGAAAAAGTAAGTCCCCAAACAAAATCTTCCACCCAGGACACATTGGTGGAGTGGAGTTTTTACCACCCAGGCCTGCAGCACCTTGCCAGCACCCTTAATCTCCTCAAGGAACTCACATCAAGGATCGGCCCATTGCAGTAGTAGCAGCGAGGGGAGAAGAGGTTGTGATAGTCCTTCTCACAGTAGGGCTGACCATCCCGCTCAAAGAAGTTTCGCGACCCGATCTCCTCCTGGCAGTGGGTGCAGACGAAGTGCTCAGGGTGCCAGGTTTTCCCCATGGCTGTAACGACCTGTTGGGAAGACAAATTATGAAGGACAACTCCATCTCACTCTCCCTTAGACCACACGACAAGATACCAGCTGCAGGTCAGCAAGAATGACAAGTTCTACTACTCAAGTGAGCCCTGGACTGGGGTAGCATGAAAACTGAATTACCTATCATCTCAGGAGAGGGCAGTCCCTCAAGGGCAGGGTAGAGGTCACTGGAGGAGCTTACAGCGTACCTAGCCAGTGGATAAATAGAGTACTTCAGTTTCTCCAGCATCTCCAGTCTCTTCAGCCTCACGAAACAGCCCTCCCCATTACTCCCAGCTGCAGCCCAAGATCCAGCAATGAGACAGCACCTTCCACTCACCTGCCCAGCAATAGGCTTCTTGCAGGCTCCACAGACACCTTTGGCAACTGTAGCTACACCCAGTTTGTTTAGATCAGACTGCAGGCTTCCCAGCATGGTGTCCAGCTGACTGCCAGGCTTGGAGGATGTGGATGGAGGGGAGCTGCTCCCGGCTTTCCCCTGTGCCATGAACTGCAGGGAAGGGAAAACAAAGACCATAAGGTGAGTGCTGCTGTGCTTACAAGATAAATGCCTGCTGTTGCTACCCATGGCTGGCTCCTCTGCAGAGAAGAGCAGGAGATTGCTAGGAGACAGCTACACTCTCTGCAGAAGCCAGTGAAAGCCAGGATCAAGTACTTATCTGTATTCTGCCCATGCAGAGACCCTGGGATGTGTAACAGCAGAGCTATAAACTGAGGATTTGATTTTCCTTCACTGCACATACAGCAGAAGTCACCAGCACATCCAGGCAGTCAGCACAGTGCTCTCTAAGCCTCTGCCAAAAATCTCCCTTTACCTCATCAGCTCCTGGCCAGCTGACAAAGCAGAGACACCATCCAGAGGGCCCCTTCCCCTCAGCCTCTCTGTTCTGTGCTGTTGCTGACTCCCAGTTGTCACTCTCTCCTCTTTGATGGAGATCCCTCTTCCTCACCTCCCTTTCAGCTACAGTAATCTCCTCTCTTCCCCTCCCTCCCTTTGCACCACCTCTGCAGACCTTTTTGCCAAGTCTCCTTGGCCCCCATCAGGTGGCTCTCATCCCATGCCTGAGCTAAGCAAGTGGAAGCAGGAAGGGAATAACTCCCTTCAAGTTGCCTGCTGTTTACCTACAGAGAGGGCAGTGCACCCGCAGCAAAGCCCAGCAGACAGGACTGCAATGGAAGGACTGCCACGTCTGTTGTGGGACCGCTGGCAGTGCATGGGAATGGGGGGAAGGGGGTTAAGGTACTTGTCTCAGAGGCTGTTTCTGAAACTCACACCACACCACAGCACACATGGCTTGGAAAGAACTCCCAGAGGAGGGGGAGAAACGTTTTACTTGGGTTCATAACTTATAACCAAAGTATATGCTCTCCCTGGAGAACAGCCCCTTTGCAGACAAACTGCAATAATGAAACACAGATTATTTCAGCTGACTTTGCACTGCAATAGCTACTGTCAGGTTCAGAGAGAGCCAAAGAAGTCCTTCCCCGAGGTGGTGGTCTGCAGCACACGTTTTCTCTTACCAAGAGCACAGATTAAAACACATAAAATCTACATTTGTGAACAACCCACCAGCCTCCTGCCAGCACAGCCAGGGCAGCAGGGACGTGCTGAAGAGCCCCAGAGCCTTGGCAGAACCTGCCCTTCCAGCCACAGGAGGAGCTCTATTCTCCATCCTGCTGCTGGTTGTACTTGTAGCCAGTTTACTCAATGACAAACTCTGCTTTCTACTTGTTTGGATAAAAATCCTCATGCCATACATAACTTTAGCTGTTTTGCACACACACATGCACACACTCCACGTCAGCCTTGCCTTGCATGCAGCACAATTCCCAATGGAGCCTAACACACAGCTCTTCCCCTCCTATCCTAGCCATTCTGTAACTTGCAGCCCCCATTACACTCCAACATCCTGAACCTAAAACAAACCCTCAGCCACACTGTGGTTACTTCCTACCAAATAGTTACAGTGAATGTCTCCAGAGCACATCACTGCAAGAGGACTTCTCACAGAGACAACAGGCCTTTGTATGCAGAGCCAGGCCAGAGCCCCAGGACAAAGCCAGGGCTTCCTGCACAGCACAGCCGGAGGAAGAGGGCTGAATCATACCCCCTTCTCACTCTAACCAGGGCCTTGTGGCCAACACCACACACAAATGGAGAGAAAAGAGGAGTTCAACATGCAGTGCTTCATCCTTGCCTGCAGCAACCACACACTCCTGCAAGCCACAGCTAACCTCAGTGCATGTACAACAACCCATGTACACTAATTGCCACCTGGCCTGGCAATCCAACCTTCTTGACAGTTCATAGATTAGTCCTTACCTAAGAGGTTTGTTTCTGCCTCCTGCACACAGTGCCTGCTGTTTACAGGGGACACTCAGCACAGCATCCATATAAATCCATCATGCAGAGGCCCTTCAAAGTCCTACCCTTCATTTTTGAGATCTGCCATCACTCCACTTCAGCCAGGGGCTCTATGAGCAGCAAACCATGCACTACCGGACACCATTGACATTAACAGCACTGGGAGCTCCAGGGACAGATCCCAGCAGCATTGGCAGCACACTCATGAACCAGAAGAGCACACACCATGCTAAGGAAATAGAAAGGAGGTCCTGCCTTCTCAGGGGTGGGTGGGCCCAGGGGTGCATGAGCAGCCAGCAGATTGGTACTGTGGATGAGGGGAGGAGCAGAGGTCACCTGGAAAGTACAACAGGTCAGGATGCAGAGGTGTTTATTGCTTGAGCTGCCTGTACACATAATACTGCACACCACTGCACTGCTCATCTACATTCAAACTTCCCACCACCCTGGAGATACAGCCCTTCCCAAGGAGATGCAGAACACAGCTCTTAAATCACATCATCTCCTCCCCAAAATCTGCTCGTGCTGTGGACACCCGTCTAAACAGGCAAACACAGGAGGAGCTGCTCATTTGCTCCTTTCAGTATGGAGATTTTGCCATCTTTTACTCCTGCCACTCCAAGAGAGATCATGGCAGGGAGAACTGCAACCTGTGGTTTGGAACTCCCTTCTTCATCCCAGAGGAAAACAGAGCCCCTGCTGCACAAAGTGATCTTCAGGACAGACAGGAGCCACACATGCCCAGCAGGTTATAACAAGACATGTATTTTGCAGTGCCAGACAGGCACAGATGGAGCTAGATATTGCCAATGAGTCCTCTCTCCTACCTAGCAGTTCAGTACCAGTTTTTTCCTGAATGCTGTACCTACTGAGCTATCAACTTGGGAGCAATAACTGAATGGGAAACACTGCTAACAAAATAAACCAGAAGAGAGAAGCCTGCCTGCACCTGCAGGAAGAAAGCATCATCTTCAGTCTGACAGGCAACAGAAACAACTGTCTTGGTGCTAGGGGTCCAGGCCTGGGGAGAGCAGCAATGCCTAGGATCTTCAGAAGGAGGGGTGCCCACAACAGAAAGCTCATGATAATCATCATCAGAAGTTTCCCACTGGAAGAGAGGCTGGGGAGCCAAGCTAAAGGAAGAGGAGGAGACTGGACTAGGAGCTGGGGTGGACGGCACATGGGAAGGCTGAGGTGTGAATGGGAGGAGAGGTGTAGGGTCAGAGATATGAGATAGAGCAGCACTGGCAGAGACTGTCTTTGTAGCTTCTTTGGAAGGCTGGAGAGGGGGAGAGGCAGGAACAGAGACCGTCCTCCTTGGAGGGAATGGGAATTCTGGAGGAAAAACCACCTAAAAAGACACAGAGGAAGAAGAAAGGTGAATAAACCCAAAGAGAGGAACCCACAGGCACTTCCTGCAACAGGAAGGCTGGTTGTTACCAGCATGTTTATCTAAGGGGAAAAAAGCAGCAAGAAGGAGAAGGGAACTAGAAAACATGCTTCCTTTTAGCTCCAGGAAGAGCACCATCTTACACCCAGAACTTCCTGCACAGGTACAGTACTGGGGACAACAAAGCACACCTCTGTGACAGGCTTCCCAGAGTGGTTTTAAAACCACATGTGGTTTTAATCCCCACATGACATTTGCCATGTGATAGTAGCAGACTGCCCAAACAGATATCAGCACTCTCAGATCCTACTCCAATTCTTAAACATCAAGAACTAGGCCCTGCACGTAGGCCAGACAAGGGCGAGTAGAAAGAGTTCTTCACATCATGTTGCTTAGGACACACAGCAGCTTCACCTGCACCTCCACACAAGGCTATCGGGACAGAGGGACATGCTGGAATTTCCAAGAGCATGCCCCTGCTTTCTACCTTCTCTACCTGCTGTCCACCATTCTGCTCTTCCCCCTGGGCTCTGGCAGTGACCCCCTCTGTCAGCCAGTCATCCTGGCCTTCCCGTTCTTCCTGCTCCTGCTTAGTGACGCCCAGTCTGTCCTGCAGCTCTTCAATCAAGCGGTCCTGGGACTCAGTCTTGTGCAATATGGCAGGGCCTAGTTTACGCCTTGGAGAGGGGTCCCGATACATTGGATGCACATTCGCAGTCTCTTTTGTCCTCTTGATTAAAGATTTAATCTAAATGACAAAGGTAATAATATCAGCAGAGAACAGTAATGTCAGAGCAAGCCCCAAGATGCAACAACATAAACTCAAGCCATTAGTGACAATTGTGAGCAGGAGAGTGATGATATTTATTCCATAGTGCCAAAATTCCTCTTGGCACAGCCCAGAACAGTGAGTCAGTGCAAGGAAAAACCCTGTAAGGATAATCACGGCAGCCAAAAATAACTATCTAGAAAAGGAAGGGAAAGATTAAACAGCAGGAAGCCAAGATAGGAGGTGCAGCATGACCACGCCACTGAGCATTAAAGAAGCCTCAGCGTCACAAGGACACCGAGCAGCCTCGCTGTGTTTGCCCTTTACAGGCATAGGACTCTTAGTCAGAGCCTGTCTGGTGCACAAAGGGTACTTCCAGCACTGGAAAGAGCACAGCTCCAGGAATGAGAGCTAAAAAGGTGAGTGGAAGAGCTGCCACCCCAAGTCAAGAACATGTGGCATGAAACAGCCCTTTTACCTTATCAGAGGCCTCTGTGGCCTGAGCCGTACCCCAGCTAGGGAATAAAAGTCCATTTCACAGGGAAGTCCCTGCAAATTGCCATGTTCTGTGCTGCTGACTGACATGCAGAAGAGACCACAAGATAAAGCAGAGGATTTCAAACCTCTGTGACATGCAGCTGTCAGTAACACTCTCAGAGCTGCATGCTGTTAGTGTGGGTGAGCCCAGGCACACTCACATCACACACAGAATGTTAGTGTGCTGTCACAACAGTCCTAGCTAGGACTTGTCCTACTCCTACATTCATTCAGTGCCTGCCTGGCCTGATGCAGAAATCCTCTCAATGGGTGGTTTGGAGGCGCATGGCAGATCCAGTTCAGCTTTCCAAATGTGTTCAGGTGATTCTGGAGTGACTGCAGAGCTTCTGAACTGCTCATTTTCCTGGTCTCCTCCGGCTTTGGTCGTATGAGCAGCACTTGCCTTCTTAGGAGTTCTGTCTCTGCTCTGCCTCTTCTTGACCTTATCAGGACAACCATCTACCTTGGTTTCATTCAGTACTTCAGCCTTTAGCTCCTGTCCTTTCTCCACTGCAAAGCCCAACTGTTGTTTAGTGTCTGGGAACACATCCCACCGATCCAGGGCAACAATAGAAGGTTCATACACAGGATTCAAAGTGCTGTCATTCTTTGCCTGTACCTCTGGTACATGGGCAGACAGTTCCAGGGCCCACAACTCATCTAAAGCTGTTTCTGCACTCTTGCCCTGGGAAGGAAGGGTTGAATTGTCCCTGAATGCTCCCTGCTGATCCAATTCTTTAGGTATCTGCCCCTTTCCCTGACCATTTAAAGCATCTGAAATCAGAACATTTGAGATTCTGGGGTCAGTTCTCTGCTCCTTCTTCCCAGTCTCTTTAGCCAATGTGTGCTCCAGGCCTTGTGCCTCCACATTAGCAGATCTACACAGAAGCTCCAAACTGGAAGCTGGCACAACCTGGGAAGCATTTCTAGAAGAGTCAGGCTTCCTGCTCAGCCTTGCAGAGGTCATTTGCTCCCCACAGGTAGCATAACCCGAGGAGCCCCGTGGTGGGGGCACAGGGGCTGTTTGTGGCAAACAGGTCATACGTGGAGGAGGAGTGGCAGGATGCCCTGAAGCAGGCAGAACTACAGTGCTACTGCCTTCCTCAGGGCAGGGGACTGCCAAGGGGGCAGATGTTGGCACTTCTGAGTCCCCACTGTGACTTGCACAAGGGTGTTTGGAATGGGATAGCACTGTTAAACTGCGAGGGGTGTTGCTGGAGTCTGCACTGGCTGAACTGGGAACTGGTTCTAGAGAGGGTTCAGAAATCAGAGACATAGTAGAACTGGTCTGCAAAAAGGAGACAGAAGGAATAAGGAGAGAAAAAAATAAAAGACAGAGGTAAGGTGATGAAAAAAAGCAAAGAATTGAGCATTATAACAATCGTGATCTCCAAATCAAAGAGCCCTATTGATCCAACGCCTTGCTTCCAACAGTAAGGAAGGAAAATGAGTTATCAAGGAGCAGAACTAGTATGACATTGTGCTGATCTTAACATGAGATTACAGGAAATGAAATTCTACAGCCATGGAGATCCTTTTCCTTTGCCCTTCCTAAGTGACAGCTCATGTGTTCACCTTCAGCTTGATGGAGTCATGAAGCAGCCGCCACAGGGAAGCCAGCTACAAGCCTAGGACTGTCCAGACTGTGAGTAAAGGTCACATTAACTTTACACATAGTTGGAATGTAAATTTTACATTTCAAAGCTGAGGAAAAGCAATCAATGAACAGAACAAAGCACAACATTTTCTTCTTGATACACTAATAAAATGCTCCAGTATGATGAGTTCATGGCAATGAAAACAAAGCTTCAGGGCATTCACAGCAGGAACAGATAACACAGGCTTCATTCTATTCACATCACTAATCTCACCTTGTAGAGACACATACTGAATGTACATGAGTCTGTCAGTCACTCCATGCCCTTGTAAGCATTGCTTAGGTGGCTAGATTAGCCTCTTCCCCTTAGGCCAAAGACTCCACATTTATACTGTAATAAAATCAGTATTAATTTTGATCCAAAATACATTCTCATTAAAGCAACCAATACAGTTTTTGCATTTCCTTGACTTACAGGGTCTTTTGAAAACATGGGTTTTGGAAAGACCTGGGATCATGGGTCCTCCTTTCCCCATTTTCAGCGGTTCCTGGCTAAACCCTAAGAGACAAACTGGCATTACTCCTTTCTTTAGAAGGGAAATCAGTGGCTTGGACAAGTTCACACAGCCATTAGGGCTGTTCACCTAAAACCACTGCTGAGCCCTCCTAGTTTTAAAAATGTACCTACAAAGGATTTCCAAACCCAAGAGCTATCAAGACCTGCTCTAATTCTTAGTCACATTTTCCAAAGAAGCCTCAAGAAGCTGGATGTTTATAAGGTAGCAGGGCACAGAACTTCCTAAGCCCATGTAAGGTATCTCAGTCTCTACTACCTTTCTGAGATACTTATCACGAATAAAAGGATGAAATTAACCAGAACATGAACAAAATCTGCCAGCAGATCTAAGAGACACTTTCAGCTGCTGCCATCCTATGGGGTCAGGAGCTGGCACACACACACACAACAGCAGTGCCATAAGGAGACCATGCTCAGAAAGGAGCGAGCAATAGGACAGCTGTAAGGAAGAAGTTATTTACTGTGAGAGTGGTGAGGAACTGACACAGGTTGCCCAGGGTAGTGATAAATGCTCCATCTCTTGCAATGCTCAAGGCCAGGTTGGACAGAGCCTTGGGTGACATTGTCTAGTGTGAGGCGTCCCTGCCCATGGCAGGGAGGTTGGACCTGGATGATCTTAAAGTCGTTTCCAACCCAACCCATTCTATGATTCTATGAATAGGAGACCACAGTTCCTTACAGATTGCTCCTCCCTTTGAGGAGCACAGCAAGACCCACACTCACAGCAGAGAGGAAAAGGCCCAATAAGTACATTCAGCAGTTAACATGAAGGAATTTCCCAATATTGCCTTCCCTCTGTATTTTGCCCAAGCTGGATGCACCTGTAAAAGTAACCTGGGTTTCTGCTGTGGTTCACATTTAGGTTTCCAGACTTCCTAAAATGAAGTCAGTCATTTTCAAGGCAAGACTAATGTTTCACTTAGTATTTCCAGCATATTAAAAATTTATTAGCTCAAAAATAAGAGCTCAATAGTAATAGAACAGTTAAATACAAGCATCCAGCTCTGCAGTAAGCAGGCATTGTATTACACAAAATGGCAGGGGTCAAAGAAACAAGAGCATTAAGTAATCTCAATGCCCACTGACTGATGAGCTAGATAACCAAAATCAAATGGATTCTGGAAGCAAAAAGAATGAGCAACTCATTACAGCAAGCAAAAGATGTAAAAGGGTAATGCATCGGTCTGTAATGGTACCTTTTACTCTGGGTGTGAGGGAAATTAAACAGCAGTGCCTCCACTCCCCCAATCCCAATCTAGTGCAACTTCTAGTTGTACTAACTCCAACTGATTACACATTGTACTGAGTTTTTCTGTCCCATTTCTTGCAGCCACACACGGGCCTGGTACTCAAACAGGAGCCTTTCATCCTTCACCTCTGCAAAGACTCCACTTCTCTCCCTTACATCCTAGTACCAACTAGAAGCACATTTTTACAGACAACCTAAAACCACTAGCCTGGCACAAACAGAGGGGGTCAAAACAAACAAAAAGGGACTGAAGGGAACATGAAGCAACATGGAGGTCAGGAAAAAGGGAAGTAACTGTTAGAAACAGTCAATGACAATATTAACACAAGGAAAATGATCACAGAAACCACACACTTTGTGCTTCGGGAAGAATGTGTAGGCACAGACAAGCTCAGTATCTCACAGAAATGCTAAGGCTGTGTTTATAAAGCCCAAACCTTAAAATCTTGTTGCAATTCAGTTTGCTCTCAGAGCTCAGCCAGACACTAAGGCAGGAAGGTGGACAGTACCACAGAAAGCAGCTAGTCTCTGTCATGTAGGTGTTACAGGAGGTGCACAAATACTCTGAAGCCTTTTCTCAAGACTGAAAAGCATTTGAACAGCCATAGTTAAAAACGTCCTCTCCTTGTATCTATTAAGGAAATCCTGTGCTGGGCAAGGTCATTCTTAGTTGCCAAGAGCTCACCTAGGAGCAAAGGTTGGTAGCAACAGCCTCACCCCAAGCCTATTTGCTAAGCCCTGATAAAAGCAGGTGGGGGACAAGGCCATGGTGCTCAAGCTCCCAAGGGATGCAGAAGGAGCAAGGCAGGGTATGCCAGCAGCACGGGTGGGAATTTGCTCCAGCTTCACAACTGTGCAGCTTTTCAACCAGACTGACCAGACTCTTGTGGGTATCCTGTGCTCTACCCTAGGACCTGGTATGGAGGGAAAAAGGCAACACGAAGGTGTCAATATTTGCAGTTGACTAAATGATCACTACAGGAAGTCTCGAGAAAACAGTGAGTAACTCCTAGGTTCTCACCAAATGAAGTACACGTGCCAGAAAGGGCGCACTAGACTCAAGCCCAGCAAAGGCTCACAGAGCATGCACAATTGCTGCTGGGTTCTGAACTCAAGCACTAGGGCAAAACTCAGGGCATTGTACCAATGTCCATGAAACCCCTCTCCTGAACGGTGGCACAGAGGAAACAACAGCAAAGATGCCACTGAATTTCCTGCCTACATCTCCTCAGAAACATCAGCTCTGGCTGCCCCACCTAAAGTGATGGCAGGAGGAGGTGGAGCTCAGCACAGACAAGAAACATGAAGCATCAGCAGGATTGTCCATATGAGTAAGGGACTTCCCTACGATTAGAAAGCACTTGCCTGTGTACGTACAAAAAGCAAACCTAACAATAACAACGAAGAGACATTAGATGCTTGATTTCTCCACCTATCTGAACAAATTCAAGTGGATAATTCAGTAAGGCTATAAGCAAAGCAACTGAAAGTAGAAAGTAAGAAAAGGAAAAATTTCTCATTTTGCTATTATGATGGGTAAATGAAGTATCATGGAAGTAAGCTCCACAGTTAACCATTGAGTACAAGAATGGTAACATACCTACTGAATACAGAACAAGTTATCCAAGTACACATGCTAAGTAGATATCCAAGTATCATGTAACAAGATGATCATGGGCAGGTTACTCCTGAGCTTATCCTATTATGGGATTTTTATGTGCTACTTGTGACTGAAGTAGCAGTTCTTTTCCAACAGAGTAGTTTGGCTTCCAAGAAAGATTCTGAACAACACTTGCCATTCTCTGCCCCCACAAGAAGCCCAGACTTTAATCCCATTTTGAGGTGAATAAGAGATACTGTTCTAAGATGGAAACCTTTGAAGCCTCCAGCTGTCTGCTGCAAAGGCTTCAGTGCCTGCTCCACATGCCTGGAAGATCCTCCTTAGGAAAAGCACATCAGAGCAAAAATACCCTCTGAAGAGGAGGGTCAGCCCAGAGATCAGAAGAGCCTGGTCTCTGTCAGTAAGCAGACTGATGTTCCATGCTCCCCTACCTCTTGTTAAGTTGTAGCACAGCAAAATAATTCATGCTGTACTGAGCAGTAACTAAGCTCATTATCTTTGACAAACAGACAAACTGCAGAGCCAAAGAGAAACAGAATCCAGAACTGCCTTACCCTGCCAATGATGAAAATTTATAGGAGTTGAGAGCACCTACAGGAGCACTCAGAAAGCACAAATACCATGACAGGAAATTTCCCAGAGCAAGTCTGGGAGGGAAAGAAGGCATTCTGGAGACCAAACAAGGTCAGCAAATGTGGCTAACAAACAAAGGGAGTCCGAGGGTGGGGAGGAACAAGATGAAGTCTGAAGCTGTCATGATAGCGTACCTTAAAGTCAGAAAGAGATGCCATCAGCTCATCCAGTTCTCGTGTAGCTGAAGAAGCAGATATACGGGTCTGCTGCTGACTGGTGACCCGCTGGGGGCTGCTCACCTCGCCCTGGCTCACAGTGATTGCAGGGCTGACAAGGGGAGGGAAACAAAAAATGAGTGTGCTTAAGCCTGGGAGAGCACTCCTAGACTTAAAGTGCCACAGCATGAGGAGTGTCCTCAGCACTGCCCACCCTGGCCAGCCCTCCCCCAGACCCAGCTTCTACAACACACACAGACCCTGTCTATGCCAAGTCTAACATGAGTGTACACACACACCCCCCCATCCATTAAGAAACAGATGATGACCAAACATGCATTTTGTCACATGGTGGATATTTGCGATCAGCTATAAATCAGTTTGAACAATCCACCTCTTGTAATGTGACTTTTGTATTCTTTCATCCAGGAGTAGATAAAAAAGCACCTGCATCCTCATATGCCTGCTTGGTTTCTGACCCCTTTAGACAAAGCCCATTTTCTGTCCATCACTCTCCTGCAGCATCTGCCCCTAAGTCCACAGTCACTATTCCACAAGAACCAGTTCCACCCCACCCAAGCCAGCAACCCCCAAAGCACTACTCACACTGGACTTGGCACAGAGCTCTCCAGCTCATCCAGCAGGCTCTCCACACTGGGACGCACATCTTCAATCCCACGTGCACCATTTCGCTTTGGCTTTTCTTTTGTTGGGGGTGCAGCCTTCTCTCCCACAGAGCTGCTGCTCTCTGGGACAACATAGTGAGGGCCAGTGACGCTGGGCAGCGATGGGCTTCTGTTGGGTTCATCTGAGAAAGGTGAGCAGGAAAGAGCCATTCAGACCCCTGAAGCCATACATACATTTTGATCACAGGCAAGAGCAGCAAAGTGCCCAGGTATCTTGTGAACATCCACCATTGAGGACAGTCAGAACTTAACAGCACAAGGGCCTGAGCAACCTAATCTAACTCCAAAACTTCAGTTAAGAGCCAATTTTGAAGCTTGCCTTGCTTCGAGCAGAGTGTTGCACCACAGACCGCAAGAGATCCCACCCATACTAAATGAATCTTTGATCAGGAGCTGGAGTGGGATGCTGGAAAGCAAAAAGCAGGCTACCATTTTGAGAATCAACCTATCCACTCATACCAAATGTCTTGCTACTCCTTACCTGCTGGGAAGCCACTGGTGGGATTATGTTGAACAGCATTCAGTTCCAGAAGAAGTCTGTCCAGTTCTGAGAGGTTGCTGCCCAGAGAGGAGCTGTTCATTGTGGGAGATGGCTCTGCAGACTTCTGCTTGTTTGGGAAACTAAAGACAAACGGGAAATGTAAAACTTCCATGTCAAGATACAGCCGAAGGATGGAGGGAAACTTATATCAGGTTCACAAAGTCTACACAGGTACTGTATTCTTTTCAAGCTGATGCCTTTAGCTCTGGAGGAAACAAGATGTGTGCTTTGTGAAATTACTACAACACAGCCACATCTTCAACTGTCAGTTACAAAGAAACAGCATTGATGGACAGGGCCTCAGATTTTAGGACTGTGTGCTGCACCAAAGAGTTAACCCCATCTGCAGATCCAGGACACACACAACAGCAGCAGAACCATTAGCTTGCGTACAGGAAAATGACTTGTTTCTGCTGACATCACACCAGGCAGCAAAACCCTCCTCCCTGAAGCAAGGGAATGCAAGGCTAGCAGAGACTGCAGAAAGAGGCATAGAACAAACCTCAAGCTATCAACAAAGTCAAAAGCAGCAGGTTATGTGGCAGCCTCCTGCAGCACTCAAGGTCTCTATTCAAGTCCTCAAGCCTTTAATTTGGGGAACTCTGATCAATTTTTAAGACTGTAATTTGTAGCTATTTTCTACTCTGTTAAACATACACGCCTTGAAAGAACTTTACCTGTGCACAAGTGTGTATGAAACACTGGCTGTAATTATTGCTTATCCTATATGGGTGATTCCATTTACCACACATAACTGCAAACTGTTTCAAAGCAAAACTTAGCACTGATGCAGTGGTTTTTATAGTAATTACACTGTAATAACAATCTTTCCAACATCAAGGGCAGAGAAGTTACATTCTCCTAGTTCTACCAAGGAAGAAATAACTTTTAATGCTCTAGAGGGTCTTATTTTATCAAAAAGATACTTTCCAAATCCAAAATGGCAACATCTTGTGCACACTTCCAGGTTAGGCTGTTGATATGTAACAGGCATTAGGACTTTGACACCTGTGACACGAGCGACAATTATGGAATTCCATAAGGGCAGTTACTATCTTTCTACAGTGATCTGAGGAGGGCACACTTCATCCAATGCTATAATGCGCACCAGAACCAAGCCATGCCTGACCCTTGTACAGAACTTTCAGGCTGTAATTACCCCCAGTTTGTACTAATTGCATGCAGCCATCTGAAAAAATAGCAATTACTGTCTCCATTGGGCCAGCTCTTGCCTCTACCCAGAATTAGTTCTGGTTGAAAGCAACTTCTTGTCCAGCAGAAAGGGCTAGGCATGTAGATCACAACACCAGAGAAACACCAGTCTCCACACTGTAAAAAGGTACCCAGGACAGAGTGCGCTGTGGAGAGCCATCAGAGATGAAATCCTAACAGCCTTTTCCTCACTTATCCCCATGTCAGTAGAAAAGTCTGTCCTACCATATAGCACTCCTCCAACCCCCCACTGTTAAGAGCAGCCACATTTGCAATTATTTGCAATAGTTATCTACCTATCTACCTGTCTACCTATCACTAGTTAAGATGAAAGTTTAAGAAGTTTAAATTTACTTGAAACTTCAAGTCACTGCACATCCTGCCAGGCCATACAGAATCAAGTTTCCTGGGATAACTGACTCCAAGGCCACCCTCCCCCTAAAGAACTTTTGTGCTGCTTAACAGGGGGATGGATTTGCCAGTTGTCTCTGGAGTGTATCCTTCACAACACAATCCAGATCCTGTTCTGTCTAACAGACCCTTAAACTCTTCTGCAGCTGAGCAAATCAAAGAGCCAGGTCAACGTTTGGAGTGAGTATGAAAGTTACAGTGCCTCTTACAACAGAGATAATCGAAATCCACACAAGGCAACATAATATACACAGGGAGCACTACTTGTTTCCACTTATAGAAGACAGCTCAAGCCACAGCAGGCTCAAGTCAGGCTTATCTCTTAACAGGACTAGATACCTGTAGACGTGTTCCTCTTCACTGGCACGGGGAGAAGGAGAGCTCAGTCCATCTCTAGGAACAGAGGCACTGGAGCTTTTGGCACTACAGCTGTATATAGGAGACTGGGACTGAGGCTGTGGAAATGAGATTTGCATTGGAAACAGAGAATATAAAGCAAATATATACACTAGTACATTGCAACCCCACACAGGGGCATGGCAGAACAAAGCCCAGGAGCAGACAAAAACATCTGCTCCATAGCCAAGCCAGCCTCTATCAGATGAGCTACACCAGGAACAACTGTTCTCCACTTGCTTCAGATTTGCCTGTGAGTCGCAGACCTCTGCTGGAAAGCCCCAGCCTGTTTCCCACAGGCTACAAGACAGATGACTAACTCTAATCTCACCACACCATCTTGCTGGAACAATGATGAGGGGGTTCAATAGTTATGTCTATTAATACCTCACACCTCCCCTCATTTTCCCACCCTGTTCATAGCCAAACTCATCCTCACTTCTTGCTACCGTCTCCCCTTGCCTACTTCCTTGAGAGATACTGCACCAACAGAACAAGCAGGCACCCCTCCCTCCCATGCACACACATTCACTTACTTGCTGGTGGACGTATCTGGATGCGTTGGGTTGCCACTGGTCTAAGGGGTCAATCACAGTGCCATTCAGGGCCTCACTGGAAGGTGGCGGAGGCACGGGAGGTGGCACAGCAATCTCCTGGTATGTGTGGTTTCCAGTTGGATAGGAGTAAGGTGTTTCCTCCGTTAGAAACACTGGCCGTTTGGAGATATGGGAGGTGGTGGATTCCAGGTCTGCCAGTAAGGCATCTGCAGGGGGAAAACAATAAGGTAGAATCCTGGACTACAGGTTTTTTCTTTCTTCCCATTCATGGTATGTATCAGAAAGTCTTTGGGAAGACTTTTTACCTAGGGTGATCTGCTAAATGCCCTGGACTGAATGAGTTAACCCAACTGCTAGCACAACAAAACCACTGAGGGGTAATAAAGCAGCCAGAAAACCTGTGTCAGCCTCAGAGTTTTGTCTTAACTGCGAAACTGCCCAACAAGAGGGACCTGCATCCTCCCTGCCCCTGCAGCACAGGAGAAACCTGCACGGAGATCTACTCGCAACAGGATATTGACACAGACTAATTACAGGCCCCACATCATCAGAGAGTCATTTACCGTGGCCGCAGGCACTGCTTTCTGCAGGAAACAAGATCTCAGGAGGGGTTTTCTCCAGAGTCTAAGGTAGTGGAAGAAGCATGGAACTTCCAATTAGTCCATCAGTGCAGCAGGAGCACGTGTTTCGGTTTTGCTCACAAAAATCCCTCTGGATACATCACACAAACAGTTAACGTGCTTCCAGAGGCTGCCAGGTAAACGCCATTTCTTCTCCTGGCAACAATTCTCAACTTGCTGGGTGGAGACTGCTCACAAATTCCTGAAGACAAGGAAAACTTCCACCAGCTACAGACACTGTCACTCATGCCAGGCAGAGGGACCCACGTCACAGCACTGCGCAGGGATTTTAAAGTGGGAAAAATGCTCCCCCCTCACAGGGAGGGCATGAAAAGACATTCCCACCTTTCCAGATCGCTCCCTTCAGACTGGCCTCTGCCCATTCCCAGCCCTGCACTGCTCTATGGTGACTCACAGGCATATCCTGACTTGTTGGACCTCCTGTCCTGTGAGCCCACACTGCAGAGCCCACTGCAGTCCCTGGTGAGGAATCTCCAGCCTGCACTCACTTTCTAACGAGAGCCTGGCTGGCCGGGTGCCCGGCTTTCTGCTGGGGCAGCAAGCTCTGCTGCACGCCTCTTCAAGGCAGTTAGAGAGGAGCTGGTTCACTAAGGACATCAGTGCTCTTCATTATAAGAGCATCAGGACATAACTGGTAGGTCCCTTTGGAGATGTGGAATTCAGGCAGACAACAGTAACTCAACTTCATGAGAATTAGAGAAGAGGCTCACAGAAACCCCCTGGATCTCCCTGCCCTCCCAGGCTCAGCAGGATTTGTGTTTCCCCTCCTGCACACAGCACCTGCAGTCAGGTTTGGGGTGTGAGGGCTCAGCCAGAGCGTAGCCATCACAGAGCATCCTCCTCCAGGGTCTCAAGGAGCTCAAGTTATCAGGTGGCCCCAGACCAGCACCTAGTGCTTGCCCTAATGGCTGCCCATCATCTCCAAGAGGGCACCTGCCAACTCAAAGCCACTTCCTGAGCAGAGCAGACCACACCAGCCAATGTACTTAGCAACCCTTGAAGAAAATATATTAAAGGGTCAGATGGAGGACAGTATCACTGCAACATGAGGAAGGTGCTGCTTCTATATTCACCCTCTTCCACAAACCAAAGCATCACACACACCAGAAAGAGCTCCTGCCCTCAGAGAACAGAATACAGCCATTAGCAAATCAAACACTGTGTTAAATTAACTCTATACACCTTTCATTTAGTCAAAAAGATGCTCCAAATCATTCAGGCCACAGGCATCTTCCTAGAGGGGCCAAAATACCCCAGAAGCAGATTGTCCGGAGGGGTACAAGTTTTCTGCAGCTGGGGAAAAATGAACTTCATCTTTTTAAGCAAACGAACAGCTGGTGGATTCCAGAGTGAACGGCACATACCTCAAGGAAACTGCTGCAGAGCTGCAATGCCTTCGACCAGGCAGGTCCTATGACTGGAGGTTTTGTGCACAGAACCTCCAAGAGAAGCGCTGTCCCAGAAGGTGTGGTTTTTGCTTCTCCCCACCAATGACAAAGGCAAAGCAAACTGCACCAGGAAGTGAAAATCCCATGAGGGTGCTGACTCCTCCAGCCCTACAGAGAGGACCCAAACCACTTTGCCACCCTCCACCCCCCCGAGCCCCTGCTGCAGGACAGGCAGATGTAACCATCGCACCACAAAATTCACCCCCTCTGCTCGGTACTGGGCTGAATGAACCATCATCAGACAGGAAACCAGCACGTTTAGGAACGGCACAGAAGAGAGGAGCTCAGCTGCATTTACTGGTTTGCTTTTACTCGTCTGCAGACAAGCAGCAGCCCGGAAATCCCAGGAGCAGCCTGCCCCCAGGTCGTGAAGGAGTTAAGGAGAAGACATCACTGTGTAATGATTAACTTCCCCCATACCCTCCCCCTTCCTGACTTGAGCAAACAAGGCAGAGCTGAGGAATGGGAAGCGGAGGGAGGAGAAAAGGAACCACTGGGTTGCTCTAACTGCACTTCAGCTGTACAACTGAGACTGAAGCAGCTGCGCAAAGGCACCAACCCACCCGGTGGGGCAGGAGGAGCAAGGACAGCCAGGAGCAGGACAGGAGCTCACACGCTGCTCGATGCAGCGTGGCAAAGGACCTCTCCTTGAGCTTGCTGGCCCCCATGTTCTGCAAACCCAGGGTCCACCCTTCCACACCCCACTTGCTCACAGCCATGACAGAGGGAGGGTCTCCCACTGATGTCCATGCCCATGCCCGTTGCTGCTTCCAGCTACTGTTCTCCAATCCCATCAGCAGGCACAGTTCCCTGGAGTTATGCTGGCCTGGGAAGTTCTGACCGTTCAAACAGTCCAACAGGAGCAGCAGAACTTCCCTGGGGAAGGCAGGCTGAGAGCTGCGGTGGCACAGAGCCCGCTCAGCCCATCCCACCTCATGGGCTTTGCCCTGGAGAGGGGACTGACTGCAACCCACAGGCACAGGCTGCAAAATCACGCTCTTGGAGGTCAACCCTAAGGAGTTATGCATCCAGAGACCAAAACCCAACCAAAGCCATTAACATTATGTTTTCCATGCAGCACCTCATCCCAAGAGGTCCCAAAGCACTGTGCATTCATTTAGGATTTGTGCAACTTTTTAATGTTACCAGAAGAAAAAGTAAAATAAGAGATGGGGGAAAGGAAAGAGGATTTATTAATGGAAAAGAAAGATACATTGCTCTCTATCTTTCTTTCCAAAAGGGACCAGACAGCTGTAACGGGATGAACTGTAACAAAGATGCCCCAACCTTGGCCAGGTTGGATGGGGCTTGGAGCAACCTGCCCTAGTGGAAGGTGTCCCTGCCCATGGCAGGGGGCTGGGACTGGATGAGCTTTAAGATCCCTTCCAAACCAAACCAGGCTGGGATTCTATGATTCTATGAAAGATGCTGTGCCTTGTGCAGCGCTGCACCTCACACTGCAGTACTGAGCTCACTATAGTGACTGCTCCTTAAATAGAATATTAAATACATCAAAATATAATGGTTCAATCGATTTATTGGGCAGTGAAGCGTTCCTCCCCAAGGCGACTCCTGAGGGTCAGTGCTGCAGGACGTGTAAATCAACCAGTTAGTCCCCCACAACCCAAAGAAAGCAGTTGACTGGATCCTCCTACACCCACCAGCCATCAGAGGGCACTACCACATCCTTCCACGGGCAGACAGATGAAACCCAGCAGCAATGGCCAACTTGGCAGTAACTTCAGCTCACTTGTTCGTCCCTGTGGAGCTGAGAACCGGTCCCTGTTTCAGGCACACAGGAGTTTTCTGCCGGTGCCACATGTGCTGCACCTCCACCAGCAAACTGCAGCGTCTCAGGAGCTATCACCCAGCACTTTGGAAACAAGCACATGTACTGAGCTCATCACAGTTCTACTGCTGCCCCAAATACTCCCCAAGATAATACAGACTCAGCTCTAGGAGGCAGAGTCTCCCCAGGTTAAAAGATCAGAGATTCATTTATCTCTAGAGAATAGATTTAACTATATTGTGGCACTAAAGTAAAAGAGACAGGGTTATACTAATCTCCAAGCCATTGCTCCTCCACAGGATCACTTTTCCTTCCACTCTCACCATTGTAAGAAGCTATTGACAACCCACAGACACGTGCATGGAGTAGAATCCAGTTTCCAAAGACTCAGTAGGGCTCAACCCACCCACAAAAACAGGCTGTGTACAGAAATGTGTATTTTCCCCTCTATTAACAGCACGCTGCTCAGTGGGGTGTGGAAGAGTGAGGGATACTTGCTAAAATGCCACCAACCCAAGTGCTCCTGCTTGTCATCACGATGCTGGTGCAGTCACTGCAGCACAGTGCATCCCAACATGTGATACCCATGCCTGGGTACTCCATGGGCTCAGGCAATTTTACCAAGCACAGGGTAAAACTGCATGCAAAGATGAGACTGAGGAACAGAAGGAAAGAGTCCTCCTCCCTACACTGGGCAACCCACACAGTTGAAATCATACTCATGCCACTAAAACCACATCCTCCCCAGCATGGGAGGACATTTGTGTTTGCATTCAGGTGGGTTTTCTACACAGATTTTCCTGTGGAGGAGGGACAGTGAGAGAATGATATCACATTTGGTACCTTTACTCCTATAAAGCACTCCAAGACATCTGGAGTTTGCCCCTCTCTCCCTTGTCTTCCTTTTGCCAAAAATCATTGTTAACTATAAGGTCCTTGGGATTCTGGTCTTCAAGCACCACCTTCTCCAGCTTTGCATACACATTAGATGTGTATGAGTGGCTCCTAATAGCAACTACATTGTTTCAAGGTAGTTGCCAGCATCTGCCAAAGCTCTGCTAGTCATTTAGACAGCTTGGGATAAGACCTCTGCAGCTGATGTCCAATGCACTGAACTGCTCAGAAAAGAAAATGCCTTTTACCAAGAAAATCAGCAAGATAAAAGAGCAAAACAATACCTCTGGGTAAATCCCATTTACCAGTCCAAGCTGCACTGAAGACAATGATCATCTGTCAAGCTATACACTGTGCATTCCTGCACTATCTCCCCAGCCCACACCTCTGTCAGGCCGAGTTGCAGCTCACACATTCCAGGGGCTCCAACGCAG